TCAAAATCGAAAGCTGAGATTTCCGTGCTTTAATTTCCAAAGACATCTCTGTCTTTCAATTAGATTATCGCGACTTGTGAAGTCAGTATGTGTTGAAAATCGTGGGAAGGCAAATTTGAGCGATCCCTCAGCAAATCGACCAGAAGAAAGCACGCCCGAAAAGTTTTCACGTCTGCTTAGAGAATGGAGAACAGTTTTTTGAGGATAAAATTTTCTTTCAGAGAGGCAATTGAACGAAAGGACAATGCACTGTTGAAAACGCTTATGCTAAATTACGTTGCCACGATGCAGATACGGAGAGTTGTCTTAGATGAGCGGTTTCATGGATTCACAGCGCTGCAGAAAGTGTGTTTGGACCAAAACAAAGACGCTGCATCAATTATTATAGAGTATGGAGTGGATATCGAGCAGCGCGGGAAACACGGTTGGTCCGCGCTACACGCCGCCGCATTTGCAAGTAAGAATGACTTGTCCTTGATCACGCTCCTTTTAAATTCATGCGCTGACGTAAACGCCCGGGACGACCACGGTTGTTTACCGGTAGACCTTGCAGAGTATACTGGGGTCCGGGGATTGCTTCTCGACAAAATGGCGGAAAAAGGTCACGTAGAACTTGCGGAAATGTACAAGAAAATCGATAGCATAAAAAGCCAATCAAACACTGGCGGTATCAGACTAAAAATAAGTAATGTTGAATGCTCGAGCGACTCAAAACAAATAGCCGAAGAAACTTGCTCCAAAATGGTTGAAAGTTTAGGAACAGGATATTTTTTCAGCTGTTGCGAAAAACGGGAACAATTTCTGTCAGACCGGCCTTTGTTACGCAGAGAACGGGTGCTTGGACAAAGACGTGTTAATTCGTGGAATTTTAGGAGCAAAAGGGATTCTGGGATATCTGTGGATGAACCAGACATTACATTCATTTGACTTGACTTGATATTTGAATCACGGATCTAAAAAAAAGACTGGATCAAACAACCTATTGTTCTCCTACATCAACACAAGGAAACGATCGAATTTCTCCACCTTGAGACCTCTCGCGCCTTAAGCTTTGTGCTGCCATTTGTTAAAATGGTGCACACACAGCGCTGCGCTTTCAATTGTGCATTAACCATTAAATTCTTGAATATTCTAAGAGAAAACAAGCCTAGGAAAATAAGTGAACAGTGGATTCTTCGTTACATATACTTAATACCACGGCAAAAATGTTTAACACCACTTACGAATGCTGCAAGTTTTTGTTTCAACGGTTACTTTGAATTTTGCTATGAAAAAGCAAGTTGAACCAATATGATTGAAACTCTAGTCTCATACAACAGGGCGAGGTCTCCAGATGGACGCTGCTATCTGTATTCAACGCTGGGCTGGAGAGGCTCGATCCAGTCTTTTTTTGAGATCAGTGATTTGAATATGTATATGCATATGGTGCAAGATAAGGAGTATTTCTGGTGGCTGTTAGATATTTAATGCTATATGCAAACCGTGTTGATGTTAGATATATAATATAACAAACTCTATAAAGCGTTTTATAAAGCAAAAATTAAGATTTTCCAGCTCTTTAATCCAACTTGCAAACTTGATGATAAAATTAAGCCATAGTTTGTAAATTTTGTAGATAAAGAATGCAACACCCAGGGGTGGCGTAGAGAGAGGGGGCTCAGGGGGCTCAGTGACACTCCTGGCAACACCAATAATAATCTAAAATAATTGTCCACCGAACGACTGTAAAGAGAAAATCTTTTGGATACTCATAACTTTGGGCCAAATGTAATGGCTGGGTTTCCACTAGGATGCATTCCATATCAACCTCAATCCGAAGGTACGTCCAAGTTTACGCCAAGGTTCACATGCGATCATTGCGCCGACAAACCAACTCTCCTCTCCTCAAACTTCTAAGGCAATTTCCTTTCCCTGAGTCATGCTAGCATACCTTTCAAAAAATAATTCAAAATTTGCGAAAATCATGCACAAAACGTGTTTATAACCCTATATTTTTATTTGAATGATCGGAAACAATTTTATACAGTCATTTTTATGGTTAGAGTACGTATTGTAACAGCGTTATATATTTTATGTCATCTTTCTTTTTAAACAATAAATCTAGAACCGTTTTATTAAACATGTTTGACGCCTTTGTAAACGACCATTCTGCGCTCAGTATTAGCTTTTTGAAAATAAAAAAGCAATAGTTAGTGCTGCTTATGATTTAATGATATTTTCTATTGTCCTTTGTGTCTTTCCATCGACTTGTAAAAGGGAAAATAAACAATACTATTGGCTTAAATATTTGCTGGTAAGAACCAAAATCAACAGCATTTAATAATCTGTGCAAAACTTTAGAGTGATCGCGCTATCAAAACTAGAGATGGGTGAAAAGAAGCTCAAACTCTGTCTTAAAAGAATAAAAGCCATAAATAATATCGTTGGAGAATATTGTGATAAGCCTTTCATGGATGAATGTCATTGTAGTTCATAAAAGTCAACCAACGTATTCACCTCTCGTCCAGACTATGTCAGATATGGAAAAGTCCCTCAGCAATGTCATGAAAAACGAGGCTTGGTTTGGTTTAGGCATTCTAATTACTTTTCTTCTATTTGGCTTTTCCAACAATCTTCAATCGTACAACTATCATTCTTTCTGGACCCACTAGCCAAAGTTGAAATTTAAACAAATATATTTAGGAAAGCACAATACGTTAACGCCGGAACAAAATTTGGAGTTGGGACTCTACACGAGTTGGCAAACTATTATGGTGGTTTGCAGCAATTATCTTTGATGCCACAACCTTAATATTATACTACAGCGAAAAAGGTGGGGAGCTGCAGCCTGTAGCCCCCTGGCCCCAGCCTGTAACAGGCGATAGGTTGGTGCTACGGTACGAATTTCTCCTGGCTAAATAGCTACATACAAGGATAACAAGGCTTGCGTAACATGTTGTGCATTGCGCTGACAGAATGGACAGTTTTCTTATCAAAGCCTTTCGAATAACAATTATATATTAACGATGTTAATGATATACAGTAAATAAAAAAAGTAGAAACTTTGACATACTTGACATGTGGGATTAAATGCTGCGGCTTATCTGCGTTACCCTCGCGTTACAATTTCTTGTAGAAGACCAAACTTCAAAGACTGTCCAGCAACATTCTTTCCAAAGTAATCAAATCTTTCTTCCCAATTTATGTGAAGGCAAATCAAAACAGGGTTTTGGTTGAGAAACGAATATTCGCGACCTGCATTGCTGACCATGTTTCATAGTTGATCTGCACTCCTTGTCCTCATCACGTTTTACGTAAGAATTCTCTCGTGGCATCATTTCGGTTATTTCAAAAGGGTGCCTAATACCAAGGGACTCGCAGCACGCAACTCTCTTACTTTCTTTCCCAGGTGATTGCTAAAAAGTTGTGATTTCGTATTTAACGAATTTCAAGGCCCTTCAACTAAAAGATATTCGCAACCCTTTTGCAAGCTACCTTTATTCAAATCTTCCTTTTGTAGCTTTTCTGAACAATATCATGTAGCAGTTAAGAACATGAAATCTGTTACGTTATTCCAGCTTTACAGAATATACAAATTCTGCTTAAAGAGTTAATGCATCATATTTCTTGGCGTGAATTATTGAAATAAAATACCAACAATTAGTAAGAACTCTTTTCATCCAATTTTATAATTTAAAAGATTGTTTCTAAACTTCAATGTCATAATGCCAATCAAAAATCTTCAAAAGCCTGATGAACGCGCCTTTCTTTTTGATAGTTTTCCCCAGATCGACTACAACTATCGTAAATCCTCGTATTGCCCCCCCCCCCCGAAAAAAGCCCCTACTGCTACCGTAAATTCTCGAATTGGGCCCCTCAATTTGATGATTTTTGCCATCTGAGGTTGCCTATGGCGTTTTATTGAATTACCACAACAACTTTATACTTTTGGTAATAATTAATTCAATGCTCTTAATGTCTAAAATAATTTTAAAAGCCCCCCCCTGTATAAGCCCCCCTTCGAATAAGCCCCTATCTAAAAAATATCAAAAATAAATAGGCCCCCAGGGGGCTAATTCAAGGATTCACGGTATCCTCATTGCACCTTTCCACAAAATTTTACAAATTAAATTTTCATGGCATCAACAAAACCTCTGCCAGCTAGGATAGTATATAAAATGACAATGTAAAAAGTAATGTGAGATATGGAAGAAAAAAAATTTAGCGAAAAGAGGAGAAGGAATTAGGTTTACGGCGGTTTGCACATCTCTATAAATTTCCAACAGAGACTTTTATTCGAAGGCAATACTGCCCATTCAACAGCTAGCGACGCTAGCCGAAATCCAGCAAGCCGGAGTGCCTTTACAATTCTGTATTTCTATAATTGGTATAGATTAATGAAACCTATTTCAAAGCACACTTTTAGATATAAACAAGACCAGAATTAATGTTTATATTCAAAGAAGGCTACTGTTCATCAGTCAGCGAGGGCAGTGCTCAATACTGTACAGAGAGCGCGGTACGCCTGACTTCCGACCTCATCTGGTGCTGCAACTTAGAATCTTCTAGACACATAGGTTTGTTCATCTCAGATAAATAACAATAATGTGACGACAGGCTTAAAACCTAGCAAAGTAACATAGCTTAAAAAATGGCTTTGTGTATGAAATTTTTTTGGACAAACAATTCATCTATGGCATGGAACATTGTAATCGAGGGCCGAACATTTAACGACTAACGGCGCATCAACCCCTAGCGATCGAGTCTTTGGTAGATTTGGTCTACTTTTCTACGATTCAAAAGACTAATTTGATTCTATTTCTATCAGGCAAGGTTTGTATCAGAAAATATTTCGTTGAAGAAAACAAAGACTGTAGAAAAACCTACCAACCAAAATGCAGTTTTTTACCTGGATTCATTTCGACATTAAGGCATATGCACCATGTACGAAACAGCAAGGCGGCCTTTTATAGCATGGTTCTTTGCACGAATACGAGAACATTTAAAAAATCAGACAAAAATCGAGTTTGGCATGCATCGAAGATATAAAAACCCTTGTTGTTGATAATTTCATACCTTCCATTAAAGAAAACCAACTTAGACATTTGCAGCCTTAGTAAATATAATAGCGCTCGGCAAATGATAGCAAAACTATCTATTGATAATACTAAATATCTTTGTCAATGCCTGCTCATTCACGATTACTGTTCTGGTTCGTCTTCATCGTCATTAGGCATTTCATCGGCACTATCATCTCCTGCAACTTCAGCGTTCATTTTCTCAAGCTGCGCTAGCTGCTTCGAGAATTCAGCTTCGTCTGTGTCTGTGACGACTTTAGGCTGTAAAAACAGAATTTTCGAGGATAAGATTTGTTTTTTTTCAGTTTTCAAAGAGGCGCCTTCGAGCAGAAGTATAAACGATATCAGGATAATAGAATAGATCTGTTTGTTCTTTTGAACAACTAAAATTACAGAGAAACATTCAAGCTAATGGAGTTGTTGTTTTAGTGGTTAGAATAAAATGTTGATGTCAGCGAACAAGAAAAGCGGCTCTGTTGCGCAGACACTACTTTCTCTCCTCTTTTCCGAGCCTGCGCGCAGGCTAGGAAAACACGGCAGTCATACGGTTAAATACAGTGAGGATGAATCGTACTGCCACCTTAGAATCCAGCCTTATCTTTATTGTTTCAATAGAAAGGTTTGAAAAGCTAGAAGAAATTGTCTATACATTGTCCACTCATTGACACTAGGAGTCAGGTAAAAACACAGTGGCTTTAGCGTAGTTGCGACTTTACAATGAAAACAAGCCAAAGTTAACTGACAAATGAGCTCAACAATAGCACAAAATACCAAGCTAATGAACCGTTGCTTACCTCCATTTTGACATTAAACTGTCCATTGCTTGCATTAATGGAATCCTCAATAGCCTTAATAGCCTTCTTAATGGTCTCTACACCAAGCTCACGTTCTAGTGTTGTTGTTGTCACAACATAGACAGGTGGCGCAATCAGATTAATCTATAAAAAAATACATCGTAAAATTAAAACTAATTTGTTGTTATCGTTCAGTTTGTTAAAGGAATTAAAATTTTGAAATTTTTAGAAGTTCCACAATTCAGACACCCAAAGATATGCCAGTTAAGGCATTCAATATTCTTATGTTTAATGCTGATACAGGCTACTCTAACTGAACTACAACAGCTTATTTTGTCTCCAGTTTATATAAAATAGATATATCAACAAAGTAGGATAAATTACGCTCATGTAAATGATAAGGGCAGTTGAGAAAGGCATCAGCTAGAACAATATGGTAACAAGTTCTTGCTCTAAGCCTCATGTCTATTGCAACATTCTGACAACTTATGCATTATCAGAAAAGTTTTCTGAAAGTAGCACAAGTCTTAAAATTTGGAGCAATAACATGAAATCAAGCGAAAAAGCACAAATATGTTTGTCTCCGAAAAAAACACAAATATGTTAGGAAAATGTTTCTGACTTTTACATGCTGCATATATTGCAATATTTTGTGAATTTATCAAAAAACTGCAACAAAAACATGGTTGTTAGTTCTTTCACTCATTTGAAATTAGTTAGATTCAGCAATAACATTGTTAAAAATTTCTTTAGGAAGCCCAAACTCACTTTGACAGGCATTTCTTCAGTTGAAAATTTGAGTCCTTCTCTTAATGCTGCTTTTACAGCATCAATTCCCTCATACCCATAGCAAGCAACTTCAATATCAGATCTAACTTTAATGGCCTGTGGTGTCATACGCCTATTGATGTCAGTTAGAAGGACTTCCTTGGTCTCTTCATCAAGCTGACAGTCATCCAAGATTGATGGTTCACTAGAAATGATTAAGCAATGAGTGGTTAATTAGAGCTTTTTATTTGGGGAAGCATGTAAGCAGGAAATTTTATGGATATAATTTGTAAAATAGAAGACTACAGTAAAAATGCAAGCACAATTGGTGATATATTGCTCAACAAAATCAAGGTAAGCTTGGCATGATGAGGTTGTCTGGTACATAGTATGTGATTCAGGGAGTGCATATTCGGAAGTTGATACTACAAGCATCAATTAAATAATAGTATCTAGAATATAGTACATTATATTTTCTGAATAAGATAATGAGCTCTCAACATTGATCTGACCATGGCTTATCCAAAGGCAAATGTTTTCCTGTCTATGATAAGTTCCACTTATTTAGGCCACTCTCTTATTAACCAACAAGCATTGGTTATCTCAAATAAATTGAAAAAACTGTTAATTTTTCTTTATAAAATCAGTGAAACAAATCTCAAAATTATCCCAAAGAGTAACTTGGATACAATCAAGTTATGATAGCAAAATCGAATTAATAAAAGTTTTGTGAAAGTTCAGCTGACAAAGATTAAGAAAGCAGATATAGACAAAAGACACTAACTTGACAGCATGTTTGAATATTTCATATGAACCTCCAGTTGCTTTATACTTTTCATCAAAATACCAAGCGGTCTTTTCATACAGGTCTTCTAATTGCTCATCACTAGAATACTCCAACACTTCAGCAACGTGTCTCAGAATGCTATTTACCTTAAAAACATAAATAAAATGATTTAAATGATTTTCAATATTTACATTTAAGGTGTGATTCAGAGTTGTAAATCATAGGCTCATGCCTAGGTTGATCATCTGTTAAGGAATTCTACCTGCAGAAGCTATTATATTTTGTTGTGATACCCACAGGAATATCATTCAGAAACAAACATCATTCAAGTTGAACAAGCAAATATGTTTAAACAAAAGGAGACATTTGTGGATTTGCAGGATTACAAAGTTAGATTGCAAAAAATATTTTTCTTTGACCATGTTCAGCAATTAGCTTTTTCTGCTTGCTTCATCTTGTTATGTTTCAACTCAATTGAAACATTCAGCCTTTGCTCAAGCTACGGTGTTCAGATAGAAAGCCATGGTTTTGTAGCCACACTGTTCAGAATCAGATCTAAATACTTTTCAAATCCGTGCGGCTTCTTCTAAGGCTTCAGGAAATGCTTGGGGTCTTGGATGCACTGTTTACACAATACTGTTTTCATTGGATATCAATTGATTTCATACTGGATGGGCCTTCTTTTTTACACAAAAACTATCCAATCTGATGTGCTTCACACTGTTTTCACTTTTCAAAGTTAAAATGCTCTAAATGGGGGATGAAAACAATTTTATACCACTCTTCGCTTGTGTAAAGGGCTGAATCTGATATCAAAATGAAAATGCTGCTGTGCAGAAAACAAAAGCAACCACCCGCGCAATATAGCATTCTAGTGTGCTTATTAAATTGCTCTCAAATTAATATTTTGATGACACTTTTGCTACACTCATTTAGAGCTGGCATATGACTTTTTCCATACAAAAAACTATGCATATAGTAGTTGATGCCATAAAAGTGGGCAAATACCGTTTTTGCTTTGTTAAACTTTTCTTCGCATTTCTTTACTTCTTCTGGTGAAACTCTTCTTTTTGACAAATCAATATAACCTGAAAAATAAGAAACATAATTGAGAAAATATGTCTCTCTTCCGCTGCTCTCAATCTAATGATTCAGTTTCTCAGTACACAGCCTCTATGGAAATGTGGCAGTTTGTTGACATTTCGAGTGTGGAAGGAGCTTTACACTATGTTTTTATGTGTACATTAATTTTTTTCCCAAATATCAGGTCCCCAGGCCCCATACTTTCCAAATAGACAAAACTGTGTGTTGACAATTACTAACCAATATATCTTAACTACATGCTGTTAACAAGTAAGTCAATTCATTGTTCTGTTGTCTCTGTTCCTTTTCCTAGATACAACTATGCCTGGTTTTATCAACCATATTGGTAAAGTTCCCCCAGCATAGGGTGCCCCAGTATACGGTAAAGCCCCAGCATAGGGATTGTCAATCAAAATTAAGTTCTTGAGTGCCGCCAAAGCTGTTTCAGTGCATTGTTGTCTCGATGATAGACAGAAGTTATTTCAAGACACAGTGGCTTCTCAGCCAGTAGACATTCAAGTTTCTGAACCAAGACCCAAGAATGAAGATGCAACCATGTTGATCCTTATATGATTAATTTTAAATTCCCTATTCACAAGCCGCCATGTTGTAACAGCCGTACACGAAAGACATGCGCATAGCTCACTGCTAGCAATAATAAAACATAGCTAGCTTCATTCCTACTATTCATTTACATCAAAAACAAAATGATTCAACAAGTTCCATCGAATTCAATTCAAACCAGTGTCAACCAGTGTAATGAAAGCGAAAACGTGTAAACTAAAATGTTGCGTTGTTTATGACAAGCATTGATTGGGGATTTTTTATGAAATAAAAGTTAGAAGTTGCAATCAATCTGTGTTATTAAGTGCAGCTGTCTGAAAATCAAATTCACTTGTGACATTATGTTATTTGGCTGTTCAAAATTCTCTTCCCCAAGAACTCTGCCTCGGTCGTGGGAGACACGCAGGGGGGCCTGCACCCCCTGGGTCAGACATAGAGTATTCTCAGAGTAACAGAGACCTCTGTACATTTTGGCCTAAACTTTGTCTTTTATATAAACGATTATATCTTTAAAATTCATACAAAATATAGGTTTAGTGGTTAAAGTTTATTCTTATTTTGTTCGTACCTAGTTTGGTGTGGCTATTGAGCCGGAGTTTATTTTGTATGGACTTCTTTAATATTTTGTCTATCTATCTATCATCGCAACAACAATGCACTGAAACCGGTTTGGGGGCACTTTAGAAATTAATTTTGAATAACAATCCTATACTGGGGCCTGACCGTATACTTTGGCGTCCTATACTGGGGGAAACGTTACCAACGTTGCTTGGTTTTATCAGTTCTCTCTACTCTAACTTCAGGGCTACACTCTATTCAAAATATTGAGTTGTAATGTAATATAAAGTTGTTATTCTGTTGCTGTATTAGTCTATTTCTGTGTTAGTCTATTTCTGTATTAGTCTGCATACCTTTTTTATAATATTGTTGCATATCTTTTTTGAATTAGTTATTAGTTTTTTTTAATTATGTGCTAAATTGTATGCGGTAAAATTTGAAATATCGAACTGAATTGAACTGAAAATTACAGCAAATGATAAGCTACGTATTGCCAGTGTTCCGTCCCTGTCAATGCCTTTATGTAATGCGCATTTGGACGGCGCGTTACCTTCTTCGTCCGCATTAGATGGATGAAAAAATATTACGAATCTTACCTTTATCTTTATCAACTCGGATGACAACCACACACTCATTTCTTCCAACTCTAATCAATTTATTAATAGATCGTATACGTCTTCTTGACAGCTCACTAAGTAATATCATTCCTTCAATATTTTTGTATTCCAACAGGTGAACATATGCCCCCATTTCGGCAATACTTCTGACGTTGACCATGACGACATCGTCAATTTCTGGGTATATTTGCTTGTAAAATCTGCACGAAAGAGGCATCTTGTATATCCTTTGCTATTTTAAATCCCTCAGTTGCTTTTAAATAAACGTGAAACTGCCCCTTGATTCAGCAGGAACACGGATACCACCACTGATCAGTGGATATCGCCAGACTTGATGCACTAGGCCTAAAAGAGAGTCAAAACGAGGCTGCCCCATGCTAAAACTTTGAACACGTGAGAGAAAGGAATATGAGCAAAACAATTTTGTATGAGATCTGCTCTCATCAGGATTATTAATTCGAAAACTTTGAATCATGCTTTGTGCTTTTTTGAAAATGATTTGTCAAAAATTCAAGCGAAAATATGAATACGGGTCTTTCCTTTTCATCATGGATGATGCAATATAGACAACGATAACGAGTCTGTCGAAACATGGCCACTCGTGTAAAAATACCGCTCAAAAAGCTAAATTTGCGCCGTCCCGTCTTACAAAGTTAGTAAAGGGGGGGGGGGGGGCTGTGATGGAAGTTATTTCTAATGGCTACACCAAATACCACACCCTAAATACTTGATTTTGTGTAAATGATTCTCTGGTAACATGAAATCATTCAAGTCGATTGTAAAAGTCTGACAGAAATTTCTCAATCAGATCTCAATCAAAAAGAAAGTTTATAGCGTTATAAAGGGCTAGTTCTCATTGCCTAGTAAGGAATCCACCCAACCAAACATTCACAGGCATTTAAGGGAGGGGGCTTGACTCCCCAAAATTTATCTGAATTTCAACAATGGGAACTGAGCTCCTGATTTCTCACACTGCTTGAGCATCGCATAGCTTAATGGTCTAGAAACTTTGGTGCTATCAGAGGCGCCTGAAGCTTCAAGATGCGGTGGGGCAGAAAGGGCACTTGGGAATATCAATGTTTGCTGTTGAAACAGAACGGGAATTTTCGTTTAGCCAATGACGAAACCTGGTTGTAGGTAAAGGCCCTCCCAGGTAAAGGTCGGCGGTCTGGAGCGAGCATCTAGAAAATTTTTACGTTGCTACTCCCTAAGGAGTCTCAAAAATCAGGAACATCAATAAAAGTACATTTGAATCAAGACCACAGACAAACGTTATTCTCAGAATTCTTTCAACCCAACACAAACAATCAAGGGAGGCTAAAGCCAAGCTACAATGATATAGATATCATTTTCTAGCTTAGTTGTGTGTAGTGCTGCCGAGAGGTTTCGGAGACCTTGCTACGGAATCGAAAGAGGAGAGAAGCTGAAGCTTTTTTAACACCATTGACAATGAACAGTTATGTGCAAATGTGTAGCTTGTCCTGGTTAACCAACTGCCAGGCGAATTTACCGGCCGACCTTGCTGAGTTGTTGAAAGTTTTACTAGAAAATCATGCGTCTCTCTAATTTTCATCAACCGTCAGATACGCTATTTTAGCATCATTTAGACATAAATTCCATGAAGAGTAACTCTACAGAGATTTTAATGCGATTATTCTAGAGATTTCATACATTTTCCTGAAAAACTCGGTTGGCAATTCATTAAAGAATGTATTCAAACGATTAAGCCTTTTCATTGTGTGCTATCTGTTAAGGTTTAAGTGGTATAAAGACGTTCACATTAGAACATGCGTTTGATGAAAAAGAAAATCGACTATGCTTAGTTGATATATATTGCCATATTAGATAGGAGACTGTAAAGCTATGAAAACAACGACATATCAAATATTTCTCGAATAGTGTGTGTGGGCTGACAATAACAAAAAAGATATGAATATTAAAGATCAGTGCTTATCTTTCACCAAAGAAAATGTGGCTTTTCCAAGGATGCCTAAGAGTGACGGAAATTGTAAGTATTGCCTCCTGCCCATAAAAAAGCATTTGCAGAGCTGGTGAGATACTGCCTCTCAACACTGGCAATAGCTAGTAGGATTTTTCATAGATAAAGTTCAGCTAACGATATTCCTAGCAGTAAAATTCAGGGCTTTTGCTACCCTGATACATGCATGATACACTGTTGTAAAATGTTGAGCTACATGGTCCGATCTGAACAGATCAGCTAAGCAGTGATTGCAGATTTTATCAACATCTAAAAGAAACAACAGCAATAAAAAACAAGCCATTCCCCTGGTACGAATCTTTATGTTTCTAAAATATGTGTACAGTGGCTAATAAGTTACTTCGGTGCAAAATTTTGCTCTAAATATGGATATAATACATCAATTACATGAATAAAGTATACATATAATAAGAATAGCTAATGAAATATAGAATAAAGATAGATAAGGCAAGAAGGTAGTCAAATGTTGTAAAAAATATGGCCCAGCAAAAGAAAAAAGGGAGTCGGTTGCCACAAATGCACTGTGAAATACTCAAAGAACAATCTTATCAATCGGTGTTGTTAGTGCCCAGGCTTTCAAAGGCAATCAAACTGCACATACGTTCTGTATAACAAAACAGAAAGTATCCGTGAAAATTGATGGAATATGGAAAATTCTTGCTGAATTAGAAAGTTGTTAATTTAGAAAAGACACGAATACCTGGATCATTGAGAATCCATTTTCGAAGGTGCAATAGGCAAGGAAGGCCCTAGATAATTACTCAAACACCATCCCATACCATTCCCTTTCTCAATTGAATCTTGAGATGATCTTTTCAAATCTTAATTACCAAGGTAGATGAAGGTTGAACACTTTCTTGGACTTTGAACATAAATGCTTATATTTTTATGGCTGTCCAGTATTTGTTTTGATGATGACTGAGAAGTAAACGAGATTTCTGCTTTTAAGATGATTTCTTTCTAAAATCTTATGTTAGGGTTTCTCAGATTTGCCTTTACGCTGCGGATTTCATGTGCATTCCTTCTATATCTAATAGACTTTTAAGGGAAATCTACTGGCAACTAGACTAATTTATATACATTCAACTCAATTTACAAAATGCATTTTACCTTTCCCTAAGTCGACTAAAGCTCATCAGCAAGACTAGAATAGCAGTATCTATCTATATTTAATTTAGTTTACCAACAAGTCCTTATAAGCAATGTTATAATCGAATGTACTAAAAAGTAGCGACGTATAATCAAATATAGCCAATACAGCATCACGCATTAATATAAGATTTGCGTATCACCAGAAGTTCTTTCTTTAATTCTGTAAAAGAGCTATGAAATTTATCTTGGCTTTCAAAACTTTGTTTGTACTTTCAACATTTAGCATGTAGCTACATGCGTTGAGGAGGTTCTGAGTTCACTGCGAAAGAGAGCTTCTTCTTACTGAGCTGTAACAAACTTTTCAAAACACTCCAACTTTGTCCATAGCATATGCTTCATATATAAATGTGTTTTAAACATTTGGTTGAAAGATCTGGCTATGTAGTCAAATGACCATTTCCAGTCTGTCTTACACGCATTGTTCTTCGTTTTGATTTTTGATTACCATGGGCCAATTTTTCAATTTCGTCTTCCTCGTCGTCAATGTGAAGGCCTTTGTTTTCAAGATACCTTCCTACGATATCACCCCAGTTGACAACATCAACTAGACGCTTAGGCCCGCTTCCCTCTTCAATTGCTGTCGATCTATCAAGACTGACGAACGACTCCATTTGTATCTCTGGCAGCCTGTTCTCCATTTCATCGCAAATTTTAGCAATGTCTGTTCGACAGCAACAGCAGTTTGTCTTGAAGATGATTCGAAATATCGAGACCAATGTCGTTATTATATTCAAAGGTACTGGTGTCGAAACGGTTTTCGTCATGTTACGAATCATTTTCGCTCGACCGAATTTCCACTCGATATCTGAACGCTCTTCCAGACGTGTATACGTGTTGCTCATCATAGCAATCAGCAGGTTGATCAGAACGACAATGATGATGATCTCATAAAAGCCAAAAATTATGAGGGCAAGATATTTTGTAGCGGGCGGGTTTGTGTTTGGATCGAACGCATCAATGTCGGACTTACCTGTTAATCCAAACATTGCAAAGAACAGATGTTCAAATATGACTAGGGATCCTTCTCGTTTAGGGGTCGGGACCGTTTCTGTTGGTACCTGAACATGCTTTAATCCGTAGACTGGTTTATACACGATCGCTAGTTGCAGTGCGAATCCAACTATAAAGATGAGCAGGATTACAAGAAATCTTAGCAAATCCTGAATCAAACTTCGGATTATGATGCTCCAAGGACCAAACAGATGGTGCAAAGAAAGGAACTCCATACATTGAACGACACAGAGCAGAAGACCAAGACCGAGAACTTGATCTCTTCCATACATTACCTCTTCTCTTATCCTACCGGAGGAAAGAAACGCGAACGCGTGGATCACAACAGCAATAGTTGCCAAAGCGAGGAATATTGGCGGTAATAGGCCAAGGCCGCTACGGCTTTGAGGTTCTGATATTTCAGATAAAATCATTCCGGACAGCCATATGAGAAGTACCCATTCATAAGGCGTCGGGAAAAGCTCTTCATAGCTGCGGTTCCAAGGTATTACGGCAACCAGTATAAGCAGTGTTATGAGGTAGGTGTGCGATATTACATAGCAGATGAAACGCAATGTCGGTACGCGGCTGTAGCGGTTATACGGCAAAGAGAGGAACGCCCAAAGCGGTGGAATAAGAAAGCAAAGCAAGAATAGAACAAACGTTCGCCAACCATCAAAGAGAGGGTTATCACCTTTCCAAACATCGCCAAGATAGCCCTGTACGTTGGCATGTGCGACGCAGTTCTTCAATTCGCCATCAATGAGAATGTCAATCAATGGCTGGCGGGCGTCATCAGTGGCGTTAAGGACATTTTCGGTGTCGAATGTAGTTGAAAGATGGAGCAAGTCCAATCCAATTTGCTCACAGTAGTCTCCCATTTCAAGAAGATCACTGCTCTTGTCTTTTTCTTTGGTCGACTCAAAGCGGTACAACCTAGCCAACTTGCAGGCCGTGTATATCGGCGCGGGCGAATTCAGAATGAAATCTATCATCGATTCGTTATCATTCAGTTTGCTACACAACATCAGATTGAGCAGAAACTACAAAATAAAGAGAATTGCATTGAAAATTTTTAATACCACCATCACTGTCATAATTACTATCACAAGTAAACTTTTGATAAAATTTTAAGCAAACTTTGAACAAACTGAAAATACAACAGTTTCAAAATAGCAATCAAATCAGGAGACTCTAGTTTGTTATCTTTAAATTCCTGCAAGTTCGATTTAACTCATTGTATTTTTCAATCAGATTTCAGAATGTTGCTATTTAATTTACATTTTGTAATTATTATTGTTTTCTGTACTAATGCATGCACCGTTTTCAAACAGTAGAGATAAACTCAATTTTCAAAAATATCAAACAATTTTTACTGCCTTGATCTAATCCAACCAGAGTTGCATTACCTCAACTTTTCCGAAAGGCAATATGACAAAAAATAGAATGAAATATCCCACAAGTCACAATGGTTGTATTCTCGCGTTTTCCATGTTCTATGTCATTAAATAACCCTAATAAATTACACTATAATTTTTCAAGAGACTCAATTTTATCCTACTGTGAATAGGATATGGCATAAGCTTCAAAGAAAAGATATCACTAATGAAATATAAAGCAATAACAAATGCAACCATAGACGTATGGTCCCCTGTTAACTTATATGTGTCCCCACAATCTGTGAAATGCCCCCTACGTCTATGACCCAGGGGGGCTATGAAGGGGTATATTCGATAATTATGGGTAACAAACTTCTTGTGATTTGATACTTTTGGGTGTCTGATATAACAATAAATGTTTTTGAAACTTATGGGTTCAACTAACCCATAAAATTTTCAAAAACAAGAATAAAAGTACAAATGTGGTTAAAGTTAAACAGATTGTTATAAGAAATGGTCAAAATTACTATGACTAGTGGTCTATTATGTGTTCAACAACAAGATTTTGTAATTTGATATTTTTGGGTCCTATCGAAATATTTTAGCAGATAGGTTCGGGTCAATTATTTTGATAATTTCAGGCGAGTTTTGATAACTGGGAATGGACCTCACGCGACTACCTTGCGTCTATGAATGCAACATTTGCGTGTTAAAAATAAACGAAGAGCTATCTTTACCTTCCTGTCTGTAAGCATATTTTCGACATTAAAATCTCTCATAACTAAGTACTTCATAACTGCCAAATGGTGATTCTTTGCTGCAAATGCCAAAGGTGTCTTGCCGTTCTGCAACAAGGACAAAATTGAAGGAAAACATTAGCGGAAAGACATTTGTGATGATTGCTAGCTGCAAATTACAAAATTGGTTTAATTAGGATTAGATTGTAGTCTTATAGGATTTCTTAAAAGTCTTATAGGAATATCTAACTTCAAAGAAAACAAAAACTTTGCAGTAAAAACATGCCAAATATGTCAGCTAAAAGAACACCTCAGCAAGCAGATCACTTTTGCTTAATTGCTTAAAAAATTCGAATTATTTCGGTCCTACAGAGTAAATGCTCCAAAAAAAATGATTTGGCTATTATCATTGATATTGCTGTTATTAGATGTCTCTTATACCCCAGGCTAATTCTAAACTGTATGTTTTTACTGTAAAGTGAGAAAGAATGTTGGTAATGATATTCATTCAAATTTTCAACAGTATTCTGTAAGCTCGCTGAGCGAATTGGTAAAATTCGGGAAAAAAAGAAATAAGGAAGAAGGAAAAGAGTCTATCGATGTTCAAAGGGAATCTTGCAGGTAACATGGCTGGAAGTGTCTGTCTTACCTTATCTTCTGTGGTAGTTTCTGCATCCATACGCACCAAATATTTCACGACTTCAACATGACCGGCATCAGCAGCGTAATGCAGGGGGGACCACGATTCCTAGAAATAAAGTCCGAAGTATTTGTGAACATGGCATTTTGGTCAACTTAATAAAAATCTTCGATTGCAAGAATAAATTTTTTCATAAACTGGACTGATCTTAGTCGATGTTTTCTTGTAAAACATGAATCAAAAGTTGCTCATGTTTAGAAGAATATAATAGCAGAAAATATCAACTGCACTGAAAATTTTATTTTTCTACGAAATAAATCTTTAAAAAACTATTGTTATACTGGTGCAAATATTCCTACTAGTAATATAAAAGGTAAATGTGCAAAAATTCCCTGAACCATGTTGGAAGCCATTAAATAATAATTTTAAAAGATCAACTGTTACAAGGAGGGACCATTCGATTCCATTGTATGGGATCTGGCGCACAAGATGTGAAGCAATGTAAAATGGATAATAAAACCACAACAGCCTTTTGTCTTGAACACAACCATGAAAAGGAGTAAAAACTTCACTGTGGAGTTATACGAGATCTTCGAAACCTTTTGCCTGATCTTTTTAATCTAACTTGCCTTAAAATGCGGTATTATTTGTGCAGAAAAGATCGTTGTGATTCATACTGTTCACACAGATGGATTCATACATATCAAAGTAGACTGCTCTTGAATCCGTCCTAATCGATCAAGTGACGTTTATTGCTATGGTTACTTCACTTACATTGTCCAAGACATTAACTTCAGCGCCTTGTCCAAGGAGCAAAGTGACAAGCTCAAGATGGCCATGAGCAGCGGCCAGGTGCAGACCTGTCCTTCCTTGGTTGTCTTTGATGGCCAGTTGATGAGTCGATCTCCCAAGAAGCAAGCTCACGACCGATGTGTGGCCATTCATCAATGCCAAATGTAAAGGTATCAATCCCTGCAGAGAAAGAATGGGAGATATGTATGTTATTGCAAGCTTTGGTGCAGACAATGAAAACAGGATAAATGTTAAAAAACAATAAAATATGTAATAAAGGTTAATTTTTTGAAACAGCAATTATCTATTTATCATTCAAAGGAGGCGGTTAGTTCAATTTTAAATGCTTGAGAGGCAGATTTACCTAAAACATAATAGACAAAAAGAACAAAAGGAACTGTAATAGTTTTGAAGTAGAGAAAAGGTCCAAATCTGTCGTAAAAATTGTTTCTCTTCTACGTCCCTAATTTGCTAGTCTCGTTTAAGTACCCGACCAATATCTACTTCATGACAGATTCATCTGGTCTTGATGCGCTTTTTCATGAGGCAAGATTGATTATAGCCACTATCTTAACCACATATAAACTAGATATTTAAAAATACGAACCTTTCCTTCGGTTGCTGCATCTACCTTGACACCGTGTGAATTGAGGAGCAATCGAACAATCCCGTCATGCCCATTTCGTGCTGATAGATGAAGCGGAGTGTAGGCATACTAAAGAAGAAAATGGTTGAAGATTGAGTTCAATATGGAACTTTTCAGGCAGATAATAGAAAGGATTTTGTGCAGACATCGGAAAGTAAGTACAAAATAATTGGTGAATGGAAGAAAGTGCAGATCACAATTAAGTATAAACATAGACTACAGTGCATAGTTTAATAATTGCATATCATATATTTATGCCAGAACTTAGAATTTCTTTGAAATGCTAACGTGGTATTCAATTTGACAAGCAAGCTAGGTAAACTTTAGGTGGATACCTTTGCATGGAGACTCATTTGCTGCTGCTAATGTCTTCGTTTCATGTATTATCCAATTACGTTATTTGAAAAAACACTAAATACATTTGCATTGTAAGTACCTGAGTAATAATGGGTAGATCTAGCTCTAATACATTGAGCAAACAATCCATATTAAATAATGATAATTGTCTGAAAAAAAGATTCTAAACAATAATGATAATTGCAACAACAACAATACAAACCTCGATCCCTTCAACTGATTCTTTTCCACGTGGACACTGTAAAAAGGGGGGAAAGTTTGTGTTGATATTTAACGATTAAGTAACGCTAAAGGGTACCAAGATTTGATGAAAAAGCTCAAAAGAAAACAATGGCGTTAAAAGCAGAATTCTTCTAGATCATTCATTCATAAGAAAGAAATAGTTATAAACTTTCAAATTGAAAAACCTCTTTCTAAATTTCAATAAGGTAAAAATGTTGAATAGCATCAAGTTAGGAAGTATTTAATTCATTTTTCATGCGATAAAACAAAGCTTTATGAACAAACTATCTTGTCATGTCAATTTTTCAAAATCTGCAACAACAAATTTTTTCTTCCAGACTGTAATAAGTAGCTAAACTCAGATGCTTGAATTTGAGTAACTAAATAGTATTTCTTAATAACACAGAGTTTGACCTCGCAAATCAGATCGATGCACCAGACTGGGAGTGTGTCCCAAACAATATAGTGTATCAGACTAATTCTGATATCTTTGACATTTCAAGTGAGAAAGAATTTATTTTGCTTTCTTTGCAAACAATTGAAAACAAATTGATAAATGATAACGATCTACTTTAATCTTTAAATGTCATCAGGGCTTAGTCCTCAAAGTTGGATTGGGATGAAAGGCATACAATACCTCACTAGGAATTCCACCAGAAACCTTCTGTAGGAGGTCCTGGACGACTTCTGCTTGGCCATATTCAGCGCCAACGTGGATGGCAGTCAATCCATTCTTAAAGAAAAATTAACCGCCGAATTAGATAAATTGACAGTAGCAAAATTATATCATAACGTGACTCAAATGTTATGGGTGCTATGACATTTTTCCAAATAAACTAGCGAATGAATGAATGAATTATGTAGATTCCATACATTAAAGAATCGAAAATAGCCGCAATGAAGAAAGTTCCAAGCAATAACCATCTAAATTGAGAGTCTAGGCCTAAGGTAGATTATGAAGTCAACGGTTGAAAGAAAGAGCACTAACAAAAACATCTACATATATATCATGATGAATCAATTAAAAGCTACATTGCACACAAAGGTACTCATACAAATTGGTTTGAATTCGCATGGAAAATTCAAATCATGACAAGATTAAAGCTATCACCATTAAAATACAAGTGAGACTTCGCTTTTTTCGGTATGTACTTGCTTAATAGAGTACAACTGTTAAAGTTAACATCATAAATATGTTAGATATAAATAAAAATGTAAATATAGATATGTATATATATAATAATTATAGTCTGTCTGATGAGTGCGTAAGCACGAAACTCGGAGTAACGGAGAACATGTCTCATTTCTAGTATATATTCTATTTTATTATATATAATAATATATATATATAATATATATATAAATAAATATTTTAGATTCACTAACTTAAAACAAATCTGAGACTTAAAACAAAACTATTACAATAAACTTATGAATACCTTTGCACTTGACATGCTTAGTGGGACTTTGCCTTTTAGTGACTCAATTAGATTTCTGTGTCCATACTTGGCACACAAGTGCAGTGGAGTCATACCTTCCTGCAGGAGAAAGAATTTCATGTATCATAAAATCGTATACATTACAATAATTTTTACGGCATAAGGATGTTAAATAGGTAGTAAAGGGGTTGAGCTTGATAGAGGTACCAAAAGTCTCCTTTATAAATTTGTTTTCAAGTTAAACAATGCGATAAGGAACAAGCATGTTTACATCATATCACTGAACTGATCACTGCCATGATGATGAACAGAAATACCTGATTAAAATTATGCAGCCTCTACATAAACCCTAAGTTTAATAACGCATTTTAAGTCTATATCATTGATTTTGATTTTGCAACGGTCTATATTACAACATCGTGCATTTTTCTATTCAAGGTTTTCTGAATTTGTAAGTTATCTGCAAATGTGTCTCAGTTGATGAACCTTTTATCAAGTCCATCGATCAAACTATCTTCCATTATCCCAATTTGTTTCTTAAGCAACTTTCAGTTGAAGGAAGAGTTAGATAAAGCTTTTCCTTGTGTATTTTGCCAAACATTTTATTTGTTTCTCACAAAATTCACACCAAATGTTTTCAGTAAAGAAAGAACTGCGCTGATCTTATAGAGTGAGGACTGGTCTTTACGTTTAAGCTAACCAGGCCTTTAATAGACACCTGAAACGATAGAAATTCTATGCGACTCTCGACTGTGATTGAAAGCCTAATTTGTAGCATAGATTCAAGCGGTAGTTCTTTCTGTCCTGCTAGTAACGATTTTTATAAAAACAATGCGGCTCAAACTGGTTATAAATATCAAAGTAAACTGAGATAACGCAATAAGGAAGATAAAGTATTTGACTATGTTTTCGTACCTTATCTTCGTCCTCTACAGATCCTCCTTTGGAAAACAGAAACTGCATCAGATCATAATGACCACCGGATGCTGCTAAATGCATTGGTGTCTCATATGTTCTCTGAAAAGGAAAGAAGAGAAAAATTTTAGATCAATAGCTTACTTGTTCTGTTCTAAGGTAAGTCAAGAGAAACATCCAATTTTTCCCTAGAATTCAAATTAGAGAGGATCTCATAACAGATTTTAATGAAAATTACTTTACTGGATGTCGCAAAGGCAGAGCTGTGCAGGATTTGGGGAATAGAACAGGACGGTTGCAAGTTGCAACTCAAAATTACATGCTTAATGTATCATCAGGCAACTAACTTATTTCATATCAAATACCATAACATCCTGACTTTGGAATCCGAACGATAGTGTATGACAGGAAATTTTTGCTACTAGCCATTTAATAATTATGGACTCCGCTTTTCTTATATAGTCCTCGCGAAATATGAATTTGGTCTGTGACCGTGCTGGTAATTGGTAGAGGGTATCAAATGTCAAAAATATACTTTGAATATCAAATCTAATTGGTAACACCATAAAAGTTGTTTTATGATATGGAAAAATGGCATTTGAGAAAGCCACAGGCAATGGATCTGCTCTATAGGTTACCTTGTTTCTTGTGTTGATCGAAGCAGGGTCACATTGCACGAGCTCTTTCATTACTTCAAGACTTCCTTTGGCTGCTGCAATGTGGGCGCACGTGTTTCCATCCTACAACAAAATCGCTCAAATACTGACAAACAGTTTATGTATTGGTAAGTTCAATCTATACATAAGTAAAAGAAGGTGCTTTCTATGTTTCCACCAGCGATGCATCATTGAAACGCCATGAATCAGTGAGAAGAAACATCAAAGAAGGCAACAATATACCATTTTTTCTTGCTCACATATAATAGGTCCAAAAGACAATGATAGGTAATGTAGAAAACCACAATTTTAAAGACATTTGGTACCTAGAATGTGATAAAGTAGTTTTGCTCTAAAATAAATTTTCTCTGACAGGCATTCCTTTTCAATATTCACATGAAAAAAGATGGAAAGTGGAAGTAAGAGGCTTCTGTACCTTGTTTGCTTGGAAAATGAGCGACGGTGTATGACTGACGAACTGTCTGACCACTTCTGGATGGTTGTTCTCGGCAGCTAAGTGAAGAGGCGTGTAGCCATTCTAGAACAGATTGCAAAATTATCAAAATTTCAAGATTTTTTATTTGTCAGCAATTGAGGTTAATCAAAAAGAAGTATCAATACTTGACAAAGAAAGACAACGTAAAAAAGAAGAAAGTCAAAATTAAGACAAGCGAAATGTAGAAGTAGTTACAAGTGAAGTATAAATTTTAAATACACAACGGAACTGAATTAGTCGAATAAAATAGTTTAAAGACTTTGTTGGCTACTTAGCTAATTACCGCAAAGATTAATAAATATGAGGAAGAAGTGGTTATGTCATAAAAATGGCTTGATTCAAAGATAAAATTCTATGGATCCAGCCCCAGCTTCATTTACAACCATAGGCGTAAACTAAGGGGGGCTCTGGGGCTTCAGCCCCTCCTGACGAAAACCGAGGGGGGCTGAGCCCCCCTGGAAAATAAGGAAGTGCTTTACCAATTTTAAGATTAGTTTGTTATATTATTGATTTCACGCATAAGATTTGTTGCATTAGATAATTGCATTTACATCAAAATAAAGTAGGAAATTATTGTGAACATAAGGTTGACACCTTCATATCAAGAAATGCCGCGAGAAAGAGTACATTTTGGGTGCCTAAATAGAACTGATGATCTCAACCTAAAGAAACTGATAATGATTTAAAAATAAACTTTCAATTTCATTTGTGTGTTTCTTCTTCCTCGATAATGAAAAATGCACGGAAAAATCGCCTTTAAGCCCTTAGATAATCCACTTTCTATCCTGTGACATCAGCAGCTGCCATCAGGAATTGTCATTAATTTTTTGAGCCCCCCCCCCCCCTGAAAAAAAGGCCTATGCTTACAACTTTGGCAAGCATTCCCTGTCCATCTAGCAGGGAATAGATATCAGGTAGTACAGAGCGGTGGATAAAGGTTAGGAGGCAAAACTGACAATCTTTCCTAACACGTTGGCAAATCTTCTTCGGAAAGGAGACTCCCTAAAGGGGGATCTTATACGGGAATCAACTTTACCAAAAGGGACTAGAAAAGCAGGTGGAACATGCCCGTGACATGAAATGGGCTATTTAACGTCATTAACAAGGGGGCTCAGCCCTTACCCTTGCAGTAAGTACTAACAAATTTTGGAAATTTTGGAAAAGGGTACTTACAGCATCAACGGAGTTTGGGTCGGCATTCAACTCGAGTAATTTGGAAATGACGGTCTTCTGTCCGTTCATAGCAGCCAAATGCAAAGGTGTCCTTTTGTTCTGCAAAAACAAAAATGTTTGCTTACTGAAAGAATTGAAGAATATATGTTATAGGTAACACAGAAGAATTAAGAGTCTTGAAAATATCCAAAATGTTTTCAAAACAATTTGAGGAGGACTAAGAAATGTACGCTTATAACCAGGCAAGATATTTAAAAAATTGTCTGACACGTCTCAGTTGCAAAAAATGAAAAGTAAATTATCCTAAGAAACATCATTTTTCGATGGTTTAACTATCTTGTAGAGGAAGAAGTTTATAGCTTTAGCTGTATCAAAAGGAAGACTCACGATAGCCACGACGTCAAGGCTTGCATTGTACTGTTTAACAAGAGTTTCAACGATTTCTGTGTAGCCACTTGCACCAGCCAAATGAACTGCAGTAAGACCAGTCTAAAACAAAATAACGAAACATCTAGGGGTAATATTCAATGGACACTTACATAGTTGAAAATGGTTTGGAGTTAACAAGAAAAAGTATGTAGTTCAGAATACAAACCCTGTTGGCAGTGACATTACCTCACAATTAAAATGTGAAAGCTTGCTTAACAAACTTGCTTTTTGTAGTTGCGCAGGCGCAAGCATAAAAATGACTTCTAATACAATAAAAACAGACCAATGACAAAAAATAAACTTAATTTTGGCATATGAGCCTGTAACGTTATGCTGCCAACACAAATAATTAAAAAAGATTGTGTGACAAGAAAGGGATAAGTTTCACCTTTGAGACAAGATGTTACAAAAAAGGGACAAGTTCTAGCTTTATGACAAGATGTGACAAAAAAAAATGTTTTACCTTAGTGACAAGAAGTAAAAAGAAAGGGATAAGTTTCTCCTTTCTGAAGAGATGTGACAAAAAAAGAATACGTTTTTCCTTGTGACAAAGTGTGACAAGAAAGAGATAAGTTTTGCCTTTGAGACAAAATGTTACAAGCAAGGAATAAGTTTTAGCTTTGTGATAGAAAGAGATAAGTTTTGTCTTTATAAAAAGATGTGACAAGACAGGAATAAGTTTTACCTTTGATTTGGCATTGGCATACGCTTTCTTCTGCATCAGCAATTCAACTAGATTTAAATGACCAGCTTCAGCAGAAACATGCAGCGCAGTCTTACCAGCCTTTAAAAACAAAGTATGGATTTTGTCACAGCAACGAATTAATTGCAAATTCAAATTTATCAACAAACGCATGAAAAGTTGGGCCCTTAAAGGTTATGAAAGAATATTCAAAAATAATATAATTTCTTATTTGACAATATAAAAATTATTATGAAAGGAGCGGAATTAGCAAAGGAAAGAAAGAAGCATACCTCATCAAAAATATCCAACCTTGCATGGTAATCGATAAGTACTTTCATGATTTCTTCATTGCCTTCTCTGGCAGCAACTAAAGATGGCGACCAACCGTCCTAGAAAAAGATATTGCCTTAAGTAAATCTTCTGAAAACACAGAAATTGATATGTTGAATATGAAAGTGTATTTTAAATGGCTAGATCGAAAAGAATTGATGTTTAGGGGAATGCCTTAAATAGTTCAATGATGCTGCGACTCCGATACCATCTTTAGAAATACACATTTTTTATGGATGAATGGCAGCTCTGGCATCCAATTTACTGCTCCTTTTTAGAGATCTTGATAGCCCTGAAACTGATTAATTGATATCGAAGACGACACAAAGGCAATCGGAGAATAAAAAAAAGTGTATTTAGGATACTTGCCTTATTTTGAAAGTTGACAGCTTTTGCTGCCTCTTCAGGGTGCATTGTCTTTAAAAAAAGTTTTAGAACTTCAAGGTTACCATGCCGTGCACAATAGTGAAGTGAGCTCTCCATTGCCTGCAAGAGAAAACATTCAAAAATTTACCAAATGAAGCTAGTCAATGCATGTCCAAGGAGAATGGTGCTTATAAAAGAAAAGACTTGATAATATATGCCGATATTTAAGATTCTTTGTAGATTAAGGGAAATGCAAAAATTGGTAATTGATCTAATTACTTAAGTTCTAAATTGTTTTACGGGCACTTTTCTGTTAACAAATAGTATTATCCAAAGAGATACTTTGCAGCAAGTAATACTGGGGGAAAAAGCAAAAATATGACGGATAAGTTGATGGTGATCTTTGCTACTCTGCTAGTATCAGAAAAAGGGGGGGGGGGTAGGGGGGAGCAGGGTGCCTTGGCCCCCAAAAAAACTTAAGTAGCATAGTGAACAAAATTTATTTCATCAAATATGGCTGTTGCTACATTTTTTTATCAGGATTGCACCCCTCCCAAACAAAAAGTCGCATCTCGGTCTTTGAATGTAACCAAAGTCATACCTTAACATTAAGGATAGTCGTATCTGCACTGTTATCAACCAACAGTTTTGCAATATCAAGCTCATGGCCTTTCTCACTTTCCACTGGTCGCAGCATGCTAACGTAATGAAGAGCAGTTTCACCATCCTGGAAGTGTATTGCAAAACATTAGTAATAATCGAAACAAAAAACAAGAAAAGATTGCTATTGGAAATCAAAGCTATTCTTCTACGCAGATGAGAGTGAGTTAACAGATAAAAATGCGGTATGTAGTTAAGAGGTATCTCTCTTTAAGTAGCTTTTAATTTTATAATATCTGACGGTCAGTGAATAAATGGAGAGTCTTGGTAAGGAGTGTCAAAATTTGACTCTGAGCCTATTAGAATCGTAAAAATGTCACTAATCTTTGAATATGTTTCTCCAGTTTATTGAAATTCATTACAATTAGATGTAGGCAGATTTTTGATGCAAATTCAATGCTTCTGCTATATCCTTTTCTTGATCAAAATGTTTACTATATCCAAGTAATTTCTCTTATGAACAGATAATTTTTGCTCATAAAATATGTTAGAATGTATAGTTTCTTTCTGTTAACTATTGACAAACAATGATAAACTGAATTTTATCAGATCAAAAACGTACCAAGTTCTTGCTGTTTAATGCAGTAATGGTCTCTTTGCGCGTGTGTTTTGTTTTGATATGATCAATTAAAGCCAATGTTATTGCAAGATTACAAGTTCTCACAGCTATGTGTAGTGCGATTTCTCCATTCTACAAAATAATGTTATTTTTCACGTTAAAGGTTCATTTAAAAAGCATAATTATGAATATATGATAAATACATAGAAGTGTGAAGCTATTATTAGAAAAAAGAGTTAGAGTAATCCAGTCCTGCATATTATACTGACAAGGAAAAAATATCACTACTTAGTCCTGTATTCAGCCCACTATCCACTACTGGGGTGTAGGAGGGAATGAGGGGGTGGGTCGTTAAAGCACCAATTCACCTATCAGTGGCCTAAAGCCTGCCAACAAGTATAAGCAAAAACACTTGTTGATCTTTAAAGAATCAGAGCAGATTCGTTCTAGCAAATGCGCATTCAGAAAGGTAATGGCTTTATTCAGGGGCCAGTAAAGCCCTGAAGAAGATGACCTGAAGAAGAAATACCTTGGCGGTCCAGAGTGCATCGGCATTTTCATCCAGCAGCATCTTTACTAGGTCGTAGTTTTTGTGTTCAATAGCAATGTGAAGAGGGGTAACTCCTTGCTGAAATTCAAACGATAACTTTATAACATATTTCCGTTTTTAAAATTTATAGTCGCATAATTTTATTGCAAGATATTTTGAAGGACTCCTAATTCAAGAAGCATGTCTTTACTTTATCATCATTTGTGTTAAGAACAAATTAGACAACATCGAGAGCATACATTTTTAAGTACATTGTAGTTTTTAACATATATATCACATACAACTTGTTAAGTGCTGGATGGACGTACCTCAGTAGCAGCATTCACATTTGCACCACTTTTCAGCAACATTTCAGACACATGTCGAGCGTCTTTTTGAAGCCTTGCAGCAAGATGCAGAGGTGCCTCACGGTTCTACAGAAATAATAACAAGATGCCAGTGGAATATCATGCATTATACTCAAAGAGCCTAGTATATCGTGCAATACTTTCTTTTTTATGAAAGTTGTGCAGTCATTTGTTATGATGTATTTTTTGATGAGATTTGTTTAAGACAGTATCAAAGAGGTTCATTTTGAGAAGTGACAAAAAGTCTTTCTGGCTAGAATATTGGTGATTTCGTAGTTATTTTTAGTTCTAATGAGTCATAAATTGATTTTCTTAAAATTTTAGTAAATACCGATTAAAGACCATTGCTTGTTGTTTGAGAGATGCAACTTCACATTAGAGGAATCATCCCGTTGTTAAGAGAAAAATAAAAGCTTTAAGTACCTGTCCACCTCTACAGTTGACGTCTGCACCAAATCCAAGCACAACTTGCACAACCAAATGCTTGCCATGCCTTACAGCTGTGTGTAACGGGGTGTAGAAATCCTGCACAGAGCAAATCGCGTAAATCAAATTGGCCTACGCATTTTCTAAATGGCATAAAGTGTAACAATTATCTTTGAAAAATATTAAGAGCGTTAAAAATAATCTAGGGTCAAATCATAAGATAGCATCGTTAAAATTGAAGTAAAATATATTCCCACAAAAAATCTCGCTTTTTATAATTTCATTGTAATAACATTTATTCATTTAGTTTTTTATAATAAGGCTGCTGGAAAAATACAAGAACTGCAAGAGAAATGTGGTAAAAAGGAAATTCTTACCTTAGTCATCACGTTGACTGAAGCACCCTTCAGGAGCAGACTCTTAACAACACTCACATGGCCTTGCTTAGCAGCTTCATGAAGGCAAATGGCTCCTTCCTGTAATTTTAAGACATGATGTAATGTCACTCCATTGGGCAAATGAAGTAAAGACGTTAGAAATGAATTTCGATAGGAGCACAAGCTATGTGGACGATTTAATCAGATGTTGGGGAAATTCAGATTCGGTTTTAAGAGGATGCCAGGGGTTTAGGGGCAGGGGATAGATTAACAAGAGCTAGCCTCCCGCAAACATTTTAGGCCGTAGGCCCCACATCATTTAGAATTGCCGATGGGGTAAGTATGAAAGGGATACGCTAATTTGAAAAACACACAGAAATGCCGATAGATTTGATTTAATTGTTAAAACCATCATTTATTTCCCCAAATACATTGAAGGCAAATGGAAATTTGTCTAGCACTATGAAGAAATACGTTCATGGCATGCCTAACAGTGTGGAAAAAAGCCTTTTTATATCAAAGACCTTGAAAGTACTGTTTTGCCAAATGATTGAATTCGAGAAATTTGAGGAAAGAAGCGATGCAAGATGATGCAATAAAAAAACTAAAAGAAGTGGAAACAGCCTTAAAAATGCGACAGCCATTTCATTTGGAATCTGAACATGCTTACAACATTCAGCTCCAAAAGAAATATGGATGTATTTATAACAGGACAAACCTTGTTTGGCATTTGAAGTGGGACTCCTCTTTTGACGAAAAACAGAGCGACTTCTGGATGGCCGCATTTTGATGCCAAATGAATAAGCGTGCTGCCATCCTAGCAACAAAAAATAAAATGGGAATGAAGAACAGAAAAGACAAATTACTTCGTCGTCATTTCACTGAGAAGTAAACTTGATATACATTTGAGCTGACTGGTTTATACTTTGAATTGTTTGGGAGCTACTGTGAAAAACCTTTATAAATCAAATTTTTTTTATATATTTTTCAAGAGCTTAAAGCATATAAACGCGATTATGGTTTGCTATCACTTCTATCATCACCATAGCAGAAAGATTTGAAATGATAAAGGAACATAGGGGGTTTGGAGTTTATCGTATGACTTTTTAGGTTTTGGTCACTCAATCATGAATATTTTAAAAATGAAATCATCATCATCATTATTACTAGATATTTCTAGTGTTATTATAGTGAAATTACAAACAGAGAAAGGGGAATAGAGTGACGTCAGAATCTTGACATGCCTGTCGTATGCGAAAACATCTGGACAGCATTTGACGTAACAGGTACAACAAATGCATGCAAATATAATTTTAATGATGAGAACACGGTGAAAAAGCTGTATGGCAGTGAGGAATTTCTATGAATAATTATACCTTTGAACGCTGATTTACGTCCGCTTTGTACTTGTCAATGAGAATCTCAATAATTGAACTATGACCACCTTCTGTTGCCACATGCAGAGGCGTTCGATTTAACTGCAAAAGAACTTCAGACTTAAAATCACCTCGTACCTTGAACAGAAACGTGTTTTTCTTGGCATCAATAGATCTTATTCGGGCATAGAATATTGTCCGTACGTAAATAGACAGCAATGAACAAATGCTGTAAAAACATGCCGTGAAAGGAAACCATGAGGAAATTAACCTACATTTCTTTAGCACTTGCAAATCACATGTATGAGTACATTCTAGATAAATGTGCTGTTTCAGACAATAAACCGGTAAAAATATTTTGCATCTGAAGAGATTTCGAACAGAACTTCTACCCTTTAAAATATACAGTTATTGTAGCAAAAATGCAGTATGAAGAGCATTTTGTTAATAGAAATATTGAATTTCCTTCTAACAATGACCACTATTTTAGAAGATCACCCAAGCTTTCGTTTTAACGATTTAGAGTAAAAAGGTAATACGTTGAAGAGCCACTGAACTTTGGTCGAGCATTTTTTCCAGGCTAGACATAAACTACAAAACCCAACCAAATATGGTTAAAATATCTGTTTCAGAAAGACAAAAGTTACTTCCAGTTTATGTGTACACTATACATTGACATTACATTTGAGTCGGGAATAAACTTTTAAAAGCTTCAGGGAACATTTAGATGAATAAAATGCAAAAATGTCATTCTTTTTTTTGCCCTTCTTTCTTCATTGGTATATGAGTCTGGAAAAGTACTAAAGCTTTTCTCATACAACATAATTAAAACAATCGAGGCCTGTGCGTCTTTAGCTTCCAATGACCTTCCTCAAGGTCTTCCATAAGGTAATATTCTAAATGTTATTGCAATCCATGTCTTCGCAAAATGATTACCTTATCATGTATGTTAGGATTTGCTTTGACAGAGTGTAGATATTTCACTGTAGCTTCGTCACCTACTGAACAAGCAATGTGCAAGACAGTTTGGCCGTCAGTCTAGGAAGAAGACAAAAACAAAGTTTGTTTTTAATAGTTATTTGATTGCTTCTAATAGTTATTAAATAACAGTTGTTGGCTCATTTATTAATAACAACAAAAACTGAAAAGATATTTTGATTTGGTTTCCTGGAACGTCTTTAATTTGCCACACATAGCTATTTTCTTGAAAATGCCACAAAACCTTCCTATCTTGAAGAATTCAAGTAAAGCAAAAAGAGTTCATGATAATGACCACTGTATTCTAAAGATCTCGATACCAAAAGCAACAGTTTGCGATGTCTTTCATCAATCAACGTGTTTATCATAATGACGTCGTAGATAAAACAGAACTCAGTAGACAATTTCAATAATAACGAGTAAATAAGCATTTTCTATAGTTATCCCAATACTAAAGTGTGCTTCACAGCAGAAGCTGCCTATGTATTTGCAGATTCAAGTAATGATTGGGCCTAACCGCCAGGAAAATGATTGAAATACGTTCTAGATATACTTAAATTTGTTTTAGTTACATTAAGTAAGATATACTTACATTCTTTTCTGCCACATTAGCTCCATTATCAACAAGAATTTTGATTATATCAACGTCTTTGTGGCGAGCAGCGACGTGAAGGGGTGTATCTAAATACTCCTGTGTACAAAGACAGACAGAGCATTAGAAACAAAGTTAACTGCTTCAAGACGTTTCAGTTACCTTCTTCTACAATCCTTCCCTTCCTCTAAATTCCATGATATAATATCTGATGCGAGAGTTATCGCATGCAGATTTAATTCTGCTTTTCATGCTGATGGTTTTGAAGAATTTGATAAAAACTATCAGTGGCAGAAATAGGTGTTATACCTTTAGGTTTCCATTAAATGTTGGTATGGGAAGTTAAGTGGATTTTACAAGCATTTTTCGGTTATTCCTTATGAGATTTATACAAAATAATGAGTTTTTACTGAACAAAATTCTTGCCAGCATTTAAAGCAAGTCCGCACACCGAGGGGACAAGGGCCAGTTTCCCCTTTCAGAAATTTCCAAACTTAAATTTGTATGTTGATTCCTAGCCTGAATAGAAACTTTGTAAAAGTAAGATACACGCAAATGAAAGTTTTTCAAACGAAATATTAAAGAACCATGGCACGCGTATTTGTATCGTCTGGTTGCTTCGAATGTTTTTCAAGTAGAATTGTGCTAGACCAAAAGATAGCAAGCGGTCTTTTCCGTACGTGGAGTATGTGTATTTTTTGTGTGATGTTGTGTGGGAGGAAAACTGCGCACGAGCTTGGTAAAGATCTGCTTTCGCGGCTTATGACATGGTTTGAAAAGGAAATTTGTCTTCAAAAAGCCACATTTTGCAGTGAATAATTGATGCTTATATTTTTTAATCTTTTCTTATCTCCGCATTAGTTTTAAAATTTAGTGTGGGTTCTGTGAAAAAAACTTGCATTGGATTGGTTATGATTGAGAGAATTTAATGACTTCGTTGACTTTGACTTCCTTCAGCTGTCAAAAGCTATTATTCGTTTGAAAAACATCTCAAAAATCTTTGTATACTAGAATTTTCTGATGTTTCAAAACGATGGTCAAAGAAGCAGAAGTTTTCACTAAAGAAAATCATATAAATACAAGGTTAACTGAATTACTGACAAAAGGACAAATCTTTTTCTCAAATAGAGACTATTTTATATATCAACTACTTGTTATCTCCTTCACTATTTTTAAAAGCAAGTTTTGTATTCGGAACAGCTCGTCTTAACACTTCAAGAATTCATCTTTTGCCTAATAAAAAACGCTCCAAACTATGATTTTGTTAAAGTCTGTGGCTTGTAAGATTTCCGCTGTCAGTCTCTTGGCTCTCCAAACTTAAATCCATGCTCATGTCATTACACACATACAAATACAGCAAAAAACACTTCTGCATAAAAATTGATTATTTTCCAAGAATGAGTGCTTTTTAGCCCTTCTAAAGGCTCTTGCACACCGGCATGCTTTGCGTCAATATTTTCAAAAATGGCCTAATATCGTACTACATGAAAATACAAAACACAATCAATTTTTCAAGGCAGCTGCCGCTAAGCATGCTGGTTGCGCAAGAGCCTTTAAGTGTTGGAAGGCCCTGTACTAATCCTGCCGCCCAAGTATACTGGGTACCGCCATGGCCTGAACGAAGTCCTGACTGTTGATATTAGTAACTACTGTATTCGATGAAAGCCTAGCTTGAAAAACGCTTAGGACAACTGTAATTCGCTAAATCACTTCCCTGTAAAATTGATCAAAGGTTTGCGCTAGATGCTAAGAGATAAAATATCTCTGTCTTTATTATAGTTGAAATACGGTACCTTATTGACGGCTTTCAGCTGCTCCTCCGCATGACTCTGAAGTAATTCTTTTGACAGCAAGGCATTGCGAGTCGTTGCTGCGATATGCAGTGGTAAATTCCCTTCCTGAAATTTGACAAAATATTTTCACTGCATATTTTAACTTTCTGTTATGCAATATAATGTCTGGATATATTGATGCAAATAAATAAAATTTTTAGAGATAACATCAAATCATGATATCATGACTAAACTATATTTGATCCATACGGTGCTCAAAACGCATTTTGGGACAATCTATTACACAGTTTTACAAGATCTATTCGCATGATCACCAAAATGCTGTGTTCAGTTAGTACTGCATGAAAACAAAGTACTTAACAAGGCACTTTTGTATATTAATCATTAATACAAAAGTGCCATTATATGAGCTTACAAGACTATAGTTTTATCTATATGACGAGATTTTTCTACAAAGTTTTTTTGCACTGTCCCATGAAATGCTTTCTGACGACAGATCCTAAAGTTAGTGTCGATCTAAAAGAGACGGTATGATAATTTGACCTCTATCTTTGAAATTCAGCAAAAACTTAGTAGATAGAATTGAATAATCTAGGATATTACATTATCTGGTATTAGCTTTGCATCTTTCCCCATAACTTTAAGCAATGCTTTGACAATCTCAAGAGCTCCACTGTTTCTTGAACATGCTTGCTGTAAGCAGTTTCTGTTGTTCTCCTGAAAAAGTGAAGCAGTCTTTTACAATAAGAAATGCAAGGAAATTCGTAATCGAAAAACACCCCAAAGTAAATATCGGTCAAACAAAGCTTAAAAGGTACTGACTTTGAGTATAAGATATATTGTTTTATATCCGATAGAACTTTAATTTGCATTTTGAAAAAAATAAGTATTGTGTAATGTGCTATGAGAAATTTTGCATCATTTTCCAAAATATATTATCTAAAGTTTGCGTCAGCCAATTTCGAAACTTGAATTTCATATGCTATCAAAATGCATCAATTTGAATATGAATTATAGAATTATATTATCTTAAAAAGAAAATTTATACTTTCTGTTTCAATAAATTTCAATTCAGTTGTCAAAATGAATCGCCACTGGAAGTTAGAGACCTGGGGCGAATAGGAATAATTTTCCCAAGGAAGTTGCTGCTAAAGTTAAAAAGTCTCTTGGGAATGATGAATAGAATTGTGAGATAAGACAGTATCCCAGAATTCCTTGTGAGTTTGCCACTGATAGAGACTAACGTTGTATTTGCCAATGTGACAAAAATAAATAATATATTTCAACGGTAAAAGCCCAATTCAGGCGATGAAGATAAAACAAAGTAGCCTTGATACAGATACGTATTTCCACTGTTTATAATTTTTAGCAAATATCAATCCTTTAATCTTATCAAAAAAGTGAATATTGTGTGAATGTCAACAATTTTCTGATTATCAAAGGCCTAATTTTCTGATTATCAAAGGTTTCTGCAAAAAACCAACCCCAGCAGTGAGATTTGGATCTGCCTTTGCATTGAGAAGGCACTTGACGATGCTATCAGAGCCCGAAGTAACAGCATGGTATAGTGCAGATTTCCCTTCCTAAAAACAGAGATATACAAATTAGTCTATACATTCTAAATATATTGGTGTAGAAAAAATGTTTTAGTAATAGAAGTTAAGGTCATCGATAGATAGCTCAAATTCATTTAAGAGCCTTCAATTTTTATGAAGCCAGTAAAACCTCAAAAATAACAGTAATGCTGACGGAAGCACAAATGTATCTTGCCAAAGAATTTCAAGAGCCATGGCTCAAAATTTTAATGTTTCTTTTACAAAATGTAATCACATTGATGATATACTCTATGGGCTCCCTAATGTCCATATAACTGGAAATTGGGTAACTTTATCCTGTTCAAAACACAAGTATTCTACAATTTCTTACAATGTCTATAAGTTGTAAACACGATACCTTATCAAGCTCGTTGACAGGGTTGCCGAGCTCAATAAGCTTCTCAACAACGCTGAATTTGTTCTCACGACAGGCCAGCATAAGTGGTGTGAGGCCATTTTCCTGTAACGAAATTTTAGATAAGTAAAGCATACCAGTGAAGCTTATTAGTGAAGAATTAACAACAAAAGAATGAAGTAGTACGAAAGCAATCAACATAATAGACCCAGTTTACACGAGAGCGGATCCGAACAGGATCGGATCCAAAAGAGTACGGATAGGCCTTGCGTTTACACGGGAGCTGGTGGATCGGTATACTTTGGGATCCGCTGTCCGAACACTTTTGGGATCGCTTTCAGAGGTTATCCCGTATGGATCCAATCTGGACCGGATCCCGTGTAAACGCAAATGGTTCTGGATCGGATCCCGTGTAAACGTATTGCCGTGTAAACGGATTGGACACAAAAGTATCCGGATACTTTTGGATCCGATCTGGTCCAGATCTCGTGTAAACGGGGTCATAAGAAACTCTTAGGGGAAAATGATATCATCTCATGACAGTTCAAGAAAAGCAATTTCATGAGAGAAATTGTTCCTAGAAAATCAAATCAAGATTGTTTGAAAATCAACTCCAAAAAATCAATAAATTGAATAATCAACCAAAAAATTACTGAAAAATGGAACAATATCAAGCTTTATCTTCTAATATAAATCCTTTTAGTAAAATTTTCGAAATATTGTCACGAAATAAAAAACCAATTCGATGGACTAATCGTGTTTTTGAATCAGAAAAATAAGTAAAAAAATGACATTTGCATTCGGTCACTGATATTCTGGGCAAAATACTTGATTCAGTCCCTTGTGTTATACGACAAGTTATATTTAGATTACTTGTTACCTTTATTTTGTTTTGAAACCATAATTAAAAACACACGTACTCGATTAGAATTTCTTCTTAGAATTTTTACTGCCTCCGGACATTTTACTTTGACAATATAAAGTTAGGTAGCTTGGGTAGTAGAGATAACATTTGAAGTAATTTATTTATACGTTGCTATCATAAATCTCAGGTAGTTAAGGGCTGTTTATTTGTTGGATTCAGACTGATTTCCATAGTAACTTTAAGCTACTTATATGGACTGAAACAATTAAATATAATCAAGACAGAGAAATAGCATTTTTCTGTGGTACTTTAACCTTTGGAGCAGAATATGCCCTATAAAACTTAGCAGCCCAAAAAAAATCTAAATGAATTTCAAATGTCAACTCTAGATTATTTTCGATATACAGGATTGAACATACATCGGAGTTAACAACGATTATTGTATGTCCAATATACGAAAAGAGATGAAGATACACGTTTGAAGGGTGTTATGAGGGCAGTTACAGAAAGAATTGTCCTGAATGCTCAAAAGCGTTCAACAGCACCTAAATGTTTTGTAAACAGGTCTTTCGGAAAGTAACTGAATACATAATCTGTTGCAGTCGTCAGTTCACCGCAAAGAAGGTCAATATGATGCGTATTCCAGGTCATATGTCGTCAACATAAAATGTTCACTAACAGTGAATACTACAGTATGTATCATTTTAAAATGATAGTGCAGGAGTATTATCATCATATTATATGATAATACCGTCTATGATTAAGTATAAGATGTGAAACGTACGCCTTATATTCAAACCATCATGTACCGAGGTTATTTGATAAATCATAGGGCATATGACATAGGATTACCGGGATATGATGTGCTTAAATATTATGATCCAACATTATCTAAAGAACATATATTGCAAACCAAGCTATATCAGGTTTATGAAAAAATCAATCAAGATGATAGAATCAGCAAGAGAAAAGTACCTGAATATTGAGTTTAATCATTTCGCGGATTTTATAAGGAAGAAATGTATTGAAAAAAAGAAAAATTGGGAAAGAAAAGAACATGTTTGGCTTGATGAGTTTGGCAGAATCCACAGTTTTGGCAGAATTCATAGAATGTTCTACGAAATTGTAAACAAAGACCATATAGATGTGCTATTAATTAATCCGAGCAGCTTTCAGCTAATTTGAATCTAAAGGTAGATCTACTTGCAATAAAAGTGCACTGTTTGTTTGAAATCAACTGATTTTTGAAATCAACTGCTGCTTAACTGATTTCTGCAATCACTGGAAGAAAAAACGACCTTGAAGGACGAAGAATACTCATACCGGAAGCAGCTCAGGATCGAACCTGAGTTGGACCTTATTTTCTTGAAAAAGCTTTTCTAAAAATGCATCAAGCGCTTGCCAAAGCCCTTGCTTAGCAAACCATACGATTTTGCCCACTGGTGGAACCTCTATTCCTTCGGATTCTTCCGTAATATGTTCAAAAGGTCTCGGTGATCGACTTCTGTTTATACCACTCGAGCCATAGGCAGAAGATCTTCGTCGATGTTGGATTGAAGGGGGTTTCGGATCGGTATGGTTCGTGACCACAGACATACGCTTGCTACCTGTAGCTGCCTGTGTTGGTACCTTTGCTACTTCACTTGGCGTCGGCAGTTTTGGGTCTGTCTGCTTCACCCCTTCGCTTGGCATCGGCAGTTTCGGGTCTGTCTGCTTCACCCCTTCGCTTGGCGTCGGAAGTTTAAGTTTTGTCTGCTTCACCCCTTCGCTTGGCGTCGGAAGTTTCAGTTCTGTCTGCTTTGCCCCTTCGCTTGGCGTCGGAAGTTTCAGGTCCGTCTGTGGTTTTGCGACTTTTTCTACAGACATTTTCGCACGACCTCTTGAGTATACGTAAAATAGAAAACACTGACTTGTAAGGGCTCTGTTAAAACTTAGTACAAACTCTTCTTCTTTTCATCAATGGAAGCAGCCATTGCAACGAAGTACAGCAAAAGAACCAGAATCGATTTCATTAAGATATAGCAATAGAAATTCTTTAAGAACCATCCAAAATATCCGTCCGTTAATCCGAGAAACAAAACATCTGTGTTTCACATCTTCAAAGAGTGTAACAATTTATAGTCATTCAGGCATTAGCATAACACAGTATTAATATCATCTGCGACCAACAACGCATTAAGTCGAGAACTGTTCTCATAGCAACAAGACACACGTATAGCACAGGACTATATTCGTAAACGGTATATGCAAGTCAGCATTCTAGAGACAAGATGTATTTAGTCTAGCTTTAAAAAGATTATATCCCCAGATCGCAAATAAAACCTAATCTATTGAATAATTGTTATCCGCACCACAAGGAAGCAATGAAGGCTTTCCGCCACAGGTATTTCTGTATACAAATTAGGCTAATTCGTACCATCTGTACTCTTTTCTTGAATGCTTTAATGTAGAAATCAACGTATTATGTGCTTCGCAGTGGAGAGATCTCGTCAAGCAAACAGGAGAATTGTAAAGGATGGCAGACCAGCTTTCTTCGTTTTTCAACGTTGAGAACAAAAGATACGGCCATTTAGTACGAGCAGTAGCCCATATCCATTTTTTGTTAGCTCAGAAGTTATCCTCTACGATTTTGGTAAGATTTGCTTAGAAAAGTACTTCTTTGATGTTATCTGTACTTTGCAACAAAACTGAAGGCTTATCAAGCATCAACGTAGCATTTTCTAAAGCCAGTACCATTCAGACTTAATGTATTCTACTGAGGTACTTTTGGGCTTAAGTGAACTAATATTATATGGGTTTATTATACGATTCTTAAAAGGAAGGAGATTGTTAGGCCAAACTGGGACTATACAGGGTGCCATATGTTCATATTATAAAAATAGAGCAATCCTCTTAATTGCACATCTTTATAATTATTGAAAAGCTCAGTTCTTTTACTTTGAATAAGGAATACGTGAACCCAAAAGTATTATTTGAAAAACTTTTAAAAGCCAACAGAAAATAGCCAGCTGGTGCATAGACATTTCAAAGACCGCTTTTATATAAAATTTCCAAGCTCTGATCCGAAAAATTAACGTTGCTAATGATCATTTCGGTTCATAAGCTGATATAAGGGACCCATTACGTAATGTTGACAATAGGCTAGCTAATGGACTGGAAGTTGCTAAAGGACTTACAAATTCGAATTTTCTTGGTAAAATCAAGTATTTGATGATTCATCAACAATATCAAGCAAAAAACCTAACTAACAGAAGTTTATTTCTGTTCTGTATCGGTATCAGTAAAGACTCTTGTATATTGACGATGCAGTTAAAAAGGTGCATTTTAAAGTGAAGATGTGCTTGAAGAAATCAGCAAAGTTTGCTTGTTAATAAAAATAACGGATTATCAGCCTGTAACATAGCGCTAAACGCCGTAAAGGGAGTGCTTTACACGTTTTTGTGCATAGAAAAAGACGATTCTAAGTTGCAACTACGAGTTGCGCACTTAATGCAATCATCAGGCAAATTTGCCTATTAAATCGCTTGAAACCTTTATGAACAGCTAAATTCATTCATGAACTGACATTTTCAGTGCTTTACAGCAGCTGCAGTCAATTTCTTCAGGGTTTTGTTCGTCTTTCAAAAAAAAATAAAGAGAAATGTGTAATCTTTCCCAGAAGCTTAACAGGTGCGCTCATATGTAGACGACATTTTGAACATTATTGCTATCGGATGGGAACTTCACTGATTCTGCGATTTGGTCAAAACAACAGATTCGAAAAACAATAGTTATTCAACAAAACATTGACTTGGTTAACTTTGCAGCATTCTACAAAATTACCATAAGCTGACATTTCCATGGCAACATAATAACTTAAAAAGCATGCGAAAATTAAGACAACACTACAAACCGAGGAAGTTTATAAAGTGTTAAAGATGAGTGGGAGAATTCTAAATTCATTTAATGGGGTCATTGGAATAAAGCAAAGCGACTCACAATACCTGAAAAGATGACCTTGAAATCAGACTCGAGGTTTAAAGTTTGGATTGACAAATTACAACAAATTTAATTTGAATAACAACAGACTAAGTTTTCGTTTTCAGCAGAATGAATGATAAGTTTCAGAACACTATGCTGGAATCGACAAACTCAGTTCTTTGTTTCGAATACTCTGAGCACAAGAATATTAAGGCAGAAACAGACAGGTTGAAACAACTAAACCATTATGCTTAAATATTCATCCTCTGTTCCAGCCATT